GTTTGATCAGGGCGTAAGACAAGATTACAAACTCGATTATGTATCTGTGCCAGCGTAAGTATACAGTAACTAAAACACCTGGGAAATGCAGATGGATTACCTAAAAAATACAGCAAAACTTCGACGTTTCGAGCGAAAGCCCTTCGTCGGAAAATTAGCAGCATGAAATTTTAGCATACTACTAACTTGAAGTTTAATATTAGCATACTACTAACTTGAAGTTTAATATTAGCATACTACTAACTTGAAGTTGAATATTAGCATACCACGATATTAGCATACTACTAACTTGAAGTTTAATATTAGCATACTACTTACTTGAAGTTTTAGCATACTACTAACTTGAGGTTCAATATTAGCATACTACTAACTTGAAGTTTAATATTAGCATACTACTTACTTGAAGTTTAATATTAGCATACTACTAACTTGAAGTTTAATATTAGCATACTACTAACTTGAGAAATGTGGGAGCTTAGCGGAAATTTTGAGTTTAGTGTGTTTTTCAAGCATGTCTGCCAATTGCCATACGTTAGAGAATTTGTTACACAGTCAGCAACTCTAAATCTCCTGCCGCATTGCAGCAATCTTGTCTACCGAAACCTCAAGAACACCTTAAGAGCCATGGTTTGGCAAGGACTTGGACATTGTGCAGACCAGATGTTCCTTGATGAAAACAACGATGCTGTGGTAGAATTCAGTAACAGTCAACTGTTAAAGATGGAGTGTGTTGACGGGCCTGGTGTCATGGATCAATGGCTTTTGTTGCATTTTTCATCTTGCTCGACAATTACAGCTCGCGTGAACGAGGAATTCATCACCTCTGCCTTTTACACCAATGAAGAAGTGGTTGAATCTCTTGGCCAAGAAATGTGTATCTGCCTTGATGTTTGCCTTGCAGGAAGCGGCTGTGAAGCAATTGTTGAGGGATTCTACAGCGTAATTGGTGCCCACAAGAAGTCTGGAGGTCAATCCAACCAATCGCTTGCCCAACGTGCCATTGTTGACTGGACTTTACCTCACTCAGCTGCTTGTCCTGCAACGATTGAGGAAATTGCCAAAATATACAAAGATGGAAACGAAGAGCATCAACTACCAAGACACCGAGATCCTGTTTTTACTGACGAAAGACAACGGTCTATCCACAAATACTTTGTCAGCAAAGTAGTTGATCGGGTATCCTCACATGTACCTCGTTGTCCTCATGTGTTACACAAACAGGACAAATAGACAATTGACAACTGAATAACTATTTCAGTCATATGAAGTTGTCTGAACTGTTCCTTACATTTGTACTAATTTGTAGTTAATATTTCATATTAAATATTGATTAATTTAATTTAATATATTAAACAAATACGTTCATACGGATTACGGACAGGAAACATTGTGCCCTGGAACTAGGAAAAATTGCAGTAAAAAGGTAGTGAATTACTGTATTATATAACCGATCGTTGTTTAAATAATTGAGTTCATTTTACTCCAAGTGTACACGGCAGTTGAACGAAAAATTTCTCGGGTGTGCACTTGCCACACTCTGCAGTCTGGCTATTGATCAAGTATCTTGGTTTTCATCCAAGCAAGGCCTAATACTAGTTTATATTAGTATATTTTTGTATGTCATCTATTGTCTTTAATAGTAAATAGTAAATAGTCAACATTAACATCACTATGATATCTATATTTACCTTTATAACTTGAGTCGTTGTTAAGCCAGTTTCTGCTACAGCGCTTTCGATCATTTCGCGATAATTTAGACCAACACCGACCATTCAACGGCCGTAAAACCTTTCCAAAATATCTCTCTGGTTGTCGCTTATTCTAGTTCTCTTTCCTATCTCCATTTCATTGCACAGAATCGCAAATAGACTATAAAATCTGCTAGAAATGTTTTCAAATATGGCAGCTCAAAGCTCGAGAAGAACGTGTGATAGAAACACGATTGTGATTGGTTTATATATAATAATATGCGAAAGCGTCAGCGTCATGCAGGTAGCGCAGGCGATAGTCTGGCACGGGTAATACCGAATATTCTCAATTGAGAACATATGGGTATTACCCGTTGAGGTGTATGCTAAACGGGTGGTATATCCTCTATTAAATTGTATTACAGCAAAAAATGGGAAATTTTGTATTCAATTACAATAAAAATGAGTTGCATCATCGGAAAACGTACAAAAAACCGCATATACGATTTTTAAACACTTTTCTATTCTTCAAATAATCTTCGAGTTATTGCTGTTATAAATGTGAGAATTGAACCAAAATGTCGCAATAAGGACTGGGTACTGGGTCAAAAACGCGTTTTTAACAATGTATATATAACTCGAAAACAATTTGAGATATAAAAAACTCATTAAATGTCTTATATGTAGGTTTTTGTATGCTTTGTGATGATGCAAGTCATATTTGTTGTAATTGATTACAAACTCTTTCACATGTTCTTGCTGTAATTAATACAATTTAATAGAGGGAAATCGCTAATCACTCATTTTCTCGGTATTGGGCAGGTTTTTCGCTTGGGAACTTTTTGTGGTAATTGAACATCTATGGTACTATGCATTGAATCACAGAAAATCTATTCCCAGGAGGGTGCCACGAAACTGCTTTTCTTAATAGTGGAAAACCGGCTTAATTATGTTTGATATGCAAGTTATCCTCATTATGACGTCACATTGCATAACGACTTCCCCCCAAAAACTGCAAGATCTTGCTATATCGTTCATCGAAATCGTAAAACCGTGCATATGTGTCAGGTCAACATGCTATAAATATATATTATAAGTCGACAGATTCGAATCAGTTATCTATAAGAGTTATAATTTAAATTTCACAAAGCTTTCATGCAATTTGACGTTATAGTTTGGAGAATTTGCGCATCGAACATTCTTGAATATCTCAAGAAAGAAACAAGTCAAAATAGTTTGCCAAAGTATTTTACTATAGTCATTTCGAATTTTCTCTTCAATTCAGTCATAAAAAAAATGAAAAATTTCGTTGCAAAAGCACTTAGCTTATTAGTCGACCAAAATTAAATATGGTCTGATATGAATGCAGATGGATGTTGATTCAACTACCTGAAAAATATCAGTAAAACGTCGACGTTTCGAGCAAAGGACCTTCGTCGGGAAGTTAGTAGTATGCTAATATTAAACTTCAAGTTAGTAGTATGCTAATATTAAATTTCAAGTTAGTAGTATGCTAATATTAAATTTCAAGTTAGTAGTATGCTAATATTAAACTTCAAGTTAGTAGTATGCTAATATTAAACTTCAAGTTAGTAGTATGCTAATATTAAATTTCAAGTTAGTAGTATGCTAATATTAAACTTCATGCAAGTTAGTAGTATGCTAATATTAAACTTCAAGTTAGTAGTATGCTAATATTAAATTTCAAGTTAGTAGTATGCTAATATTAAATTTCAAGTTAGTAGTATGCTAATATTAAATTTCAAGTTAGTAGTATGCTAATATTAAATTTCAAGTTAGTAGTATGCTAATATTAAACTTCAAGTTAGTAGTATGCTAATATTAAACTTCAAGTTAGTAGTATGCTAATATCGTGGTATGCTAATATTCAACTTCAAGTTAGTAGTATGCTAATATTAAACTTCAAGTTAGTAGTATGCTAATATTAAACTTCAAGTTAGTAGTATGCTAAAATTTCATGCTGCTAATTTTCCGACGAAGGGCTTTCGCTCGAAACGTCGAAGTTTTGCTGTATTTTTTAGGTAATCCATCTGCATTTCCCAGGTGTTTTAGTTACTGTATACTTACGCTGGCACAGATACATAATCGAGTTTGTAATCTTGTCTTACGCCCTGATCAAACGGCATGGAAGTCACCCATGCATGTTTTAAACTGTGAGGTATACGGAAAAGATGGGGTGATATAAATTCGATTAAATTATGGGGAATGTGAAATACAGATAGTATCATGTGAAAACGATTAATAATGTGGTTTATTTAAGCAGAACATGATACAGCAGAACATGAATATCAGAATATCTTACACTTTGTATGCAGCAATTGAAACGTGCTATGACTTGCGTGTCGTTTGATTATTAAAGTTATTGTTACAAGTACTTTCCGTTGATTTTTGAAAATTTCGATAAAAGATTTTTGTGGTTTTCAAATTGTTTCTTATCAATCTTTTCGATTGTTTAATATGATCTTATTGCTTCCTATTATTACTTATAAATTTACTTATTATATGCGTGGTTAGACATAATTTGCTGAAAGCCATTGGCGTACGGGAAGGAAAAAATTAGCGGGGCGGAAAGAAATTTGCTGGACTTTTTCGGATTGTGCCCGCGTTGTCAAAAAAAAATTTCCGGAGAGATAGTCTAGGACCTGTATATGAGTTTGTATGCATTTCATTTAGGACAGATAATCTCAACTGTTTTAGGGCAAGTTGACCATGACGGTCAACATGGTAACGCTGCCCGAACCCCAATCCGGGACGAAACGTTCGAAACTGACCACACCCAAAAACGACGCTTTCGCCATACTGCTATCTACCAAACCATAAAAGCTTTGGTTATTCTGAGGTGCTTATATGGTTCAGTGATGGTACTTTTAGGGGTGGTCATTGGTAAGTGTAAAATGCCTAGCACTGATATTTCACAAGAAAATGACCATGCAATACTCATAGTCAAACGTCAATTTGTGACTTTCAAATTCAGATAAACAGCAGTGCACCTACATTACTTTTTTTCCTAAATCTTTTTTATAGAAACATAATTGGTACTTATTTATATGTATTATCACTGCTTTGGCAAAATATTTGAAACTTTGTGACCGAAATAATAATTTGAAATGTACCTACCTCCTGCAAATGGACGTATTTGGCCAAATTCTCCACTTTACTCCGCTGTTCATGGCCGATGTCGTTGAAATCCTTCCAAATATGTACGTCAGCTCAGACATAATGGTATCAAGCACATTTTAAATAAGTTTTAACTTGGATTCAAGTACATCCTAGCTGTTTAACCATCAACAAGGGAAAACCACAACTTTGTCCAAATTCGGCTCCATTTTGTCATCCCATGTCGGTTGTCGACAGTTCGGCCTTGTTATTCTTCCATCCAAGCATATTTCGATTGCACTAATAACAAATTTAACCCTTTATAAGGGTAGGAATCCCTGTTACTTTGTCACGCGCGATTTGCACGGAATGTTATGAAAGACTCGTGAGTTTACAGGGTGATAAAATGCTGCATTTCTTATATTTTGTTTAAATTTTTTAGTTTGCACCCATTTTATTATTGAACGGTCACAAAAAGTTTCGTTGTGGACCGGTTGCCAACGTTCAAACAGAAAAATTGAACTTTGACACTAACAATATAACAAATATATTTACTATATGGCAAGCAGTTGTTTTGATGAATCGCGCAATTTGATTGGCTGCTGACGCGGCAGGATTTTCCCGTATTGCCCACGGGTAATACGCAACTTTTATCGGCCCAGCCTGCGACGAGAGCAGTGTGACCAGATTTGGTAAATTAATTTACTTTTGGTAAAATTTGGCAATTTTGGGGAAAGTTTTGGTAAAACAAAATTTTGGTAAAAGTTTTGGTAAAATTTCAAAAAAATCAAGTAATTTAGCTCTTTTTGGGAAAATTTCAAAAAATAATGTCCCTTGTTTAATAGACTTCTTTAAACAAAAAAAAAACGTGGAATATAACTACGCTAAAGAACTGCTGTATCGTGGCAATACTATTCATTCCTCATTGAGGACTAGCATATAGAAGCTTGTTGAAGGATTATCTGCATTTTAGTGTATTAATGAATTATTTCGTTATTGACTGTTGAGTCTCCTGTTATTATTGCAATTTGTAATTATAGCGAGAGTTATGGAAACTTATTTGGATGGGACAGGGGATAATACTTATGGTACCGGTAACCAGTATCCAGAAGTGGGATACTGGATTCTCAGGGGGGATACTAAACTTTGAATCCTGGTATCCCAGTTGGATACCGAGAAAAAATATAAATTTCAGACCCTGTATATCATTTATATTGCTAGCTTTCATATCCAGAAAGGTGTTAGAAATTATGTTTACATTTTGACGGTTTCGTTATGCTGTCGCCATGAAAAAGGCCAAAAGGGTGTAACACGTGACTACAATGACTGCACGCAGCCAGAAACATAGAGATTATAAATAACACTAGAGGAGGCATTGTAATCTTAACTCAGTAAAAAAAAGGGAACGCGACTATTGGGGGGCAAATTTAAGTCCCGGATGCGTATTCGTGTTCCCATTGGTGACGAGTTTCAAATCAGCCAATGAGAGCACGATTTTATATCCGGGACTTGAATTTGCCCCCCATTAGCTGCGTTCCCAATTTTTAAACTCGATGCCTCCTCTAGTGTTATTTATAATCTCTATGGCCAGAAATTCAAAACGCGGAATTTGCGAGTGTTGGGTAAAACAAAATCTAATTTTGTAAAATTTCAGCACAACGTTTGGTAATAACCGCTGAGAAAGTCTGCTCACACTGGACGAGAGCCGAGTTTCAAACGGCAAAGAGTGTCTAAAAGTCTTTCAAACTATTCAAAACGAAGAAAAATAAACCTAAAATAAAGAAAAGGAGCAACTGCTGTGGTTAAAGAACTTTCTCAATACGTTTTTGTTAGCGGAAAGTCCAAATTACAAGGTAAATGTTTATACAATGCATGTTTATAATTATTAAAACAGTCAGGAATAGTTGTGTTTTGACTATGTGAAGAGCTGCAAATTATATTTGCAGATAGCCAGGAGGAATTTGACACCATCCTAAATAAAAAATACAACTAAAGCAGCCACAGATTTGTAATTTTTCCCTGAAAATTTCTGTTTTTGTTAGATAAAAAGAGACATAAATATGAGATGATGCGAACTAAAAACGTACTTGTTGTTCATACTGTTTCAGATAGTTTTATTGTTTTCATATTTGTTGTCTTTGATTAACTGACGAATTACCTCGTATTCTTTCTCGAAATACTATCCAAACTGTGTTAGTATATTCTATATAAAAAGTGCTGTAGAGTAGTTTTACTAACCAAGAGAACATTTTTTACAATTTTAAATACAATCCTTCATTTTTGCAAATGTTTCGGACTTTGTACTTTGTCCTCGCGTGACCTTTTTCCATTTCTTACAAACGTACTGAATGCCATATATAATAAAAAACTTACTGACCTCAACCGTTCGGGCAGTAGGGGAAAATATCTAACCTCGGTCTTGCTGAATTGACACTGTTTAAATGTTTTCACTGCAAACAACAGCAAACCGAATAATCGGAGCGCCGGTGAATTGATACTATATTATATGGAGATACTATGCATCACAGTATAATTAGCCATTCCGAAGTTGATGAGTGGACTGGGGACGAGTGTTAAAAAGTGCCCAAATTAAGCAATGAACCAAATCACTAAAAAAACCACCTCAAAATTAGTAAGTGTACAAAGTTTGAAGACGTTTACATGAATATCCTTCGAATAATAAGCTTTCAAAAATCTGATATTTACTATGAAATGTATTGCAATTTTTGTTTTTGGGACGCGCGTCCCAAAAACAATCTTTAATTTAATCAGTAATTTCATAATTTTCGAAAGCTTATTATTCGAAGGATATTCATGTAAACGTTTTCAAACTTTGTATACTTACTAATTTTGAGGTGGTCTTTTTCGTGATTTAGTTCATTTCTTAATCTGGGCACTTTTTAACACTCGTCCCCAGTCCACTCATCAACTTCGGAATGGCTAATTATTGACGATACCCCCTTTTTCCAGACCCCCTAGGGGCAAACTTATGACCCCCCCCGTAATTATAAAATCATCCACGGACCCTATACACTCTATGTAATCTCTTACGTTCTTACCACGAAACTTGTTCTTTGTTCTTTAAATTATGCAGAGAAGTAGGGTACAACATATATTTTACGAAGTGATGATTCTAGTCATTATGACTTTTCAAACAATATTCGCCAATGCTATTCAGGGCCTTTTTCTTTTCTCTTAAACATAAGTGGAATAATGGAAGAAAAGTAATAATGGAAGAAAAATTGAATTTAGAAGGGAGGTTTGATATTCTAGTAACTGAAATATTCTTTGTGCAACTTATGTCCAGTCCTTTATATATCTTCAAATCAGATTCCGAATGTCTTTTTAAAAATGCTAAACTAATAAATATATTAAAACTAATAAATATATTTCTAAAAAAATTAATGTAATAACGCATGCTTGAAATGTTGTGTATTTTAATTAAAGTCTAAACTTGTAGTAAAAAAATAAATTCATGTCTCTGAAGATGGTTCTGAAATAGAATTGAAATGCTGCGCGTCCTCCAAGACAAGGTAAATTTGCATTTTCCATTTATACCCACACATCATATGCATGCAGTTAGGTCAATATTCCGCGCAGATACGTATAGTACGCTCATCGTACCTATTTTTAAACATTTTAATTTTGTCGAACAAGCTTAAATTTTGTTTACTAATTTTACAATAACAATTGAAGGCTCAGACAACAGGACAAATAGTCGACCTAAATTTAAAAATTCTGCCTGAATTTCATTGGGAGTATCTCTTTTGCCTGCATGGAGATTTTATTAGAGAGATTAAGATACCTCACGAGTTCCGGGTATCGCCATTTTTTTACCAAATTTTGCTGATGTCAGCATGTTTACCCCTAGCCTGCGCAGGCTAGTTTACCCCTAATTTCGACCCTTTTCCCCGTGCTAAACCATAGTCTACACGTAAAAACAACTGGTTTTCCTGTTTACTATTTCAACATCTTACCTAAATAAATGATAAATCAATGCACATTCGCTCGACAAGTTTTTCCAAAATATATGGTGAACTTCAACAACAAAATTACTATCCTCCGATCGGTTTTCGTACCCGGGATGTCTTGGATTTCTTAAGTTGCAAGTCGTACCCGGATTTGCGGGTGCATGTGTATCGTCCGTGAAACGGAACCGGGGTATCTTAACCTCTCCAGTGTGATTTAGCTATAGATATGTGAGTACACTGATCAACAGGGGCGACGGAGCCAGTGTGGGGATAGCAGGTAGGTTGCCTTCAATTTACAAGAACTGCGCTTCGAAAGTAGTGCGTATTCATATGAATTGAAATTGAGAACTGTTTTCAAGCAATTTGAGATATATGTTTATGATGTTGTCTCTGAGTGTGCGCACACCGGGAAAGCTGAAAAGTTTACTTGATCGCGGTGGTAATCGAACCCGCAACCTTTGGTTTGCTAGTCATTGGCTCTGCCAACTGAGCTACGAGGTCAAGTCGCTTCGAGTGGGTGATATTTCGGAACTCAGCCAAGTTCCTTCGATACACCAGATACAAAAAAATCGTAGAAACACACTGATATCGAAGGAACTAGACTGTCTTTAACAAATATAAAACATTTTCCGTGTTGATATACAGTTATATCAACACGAGTGGAAATTGGGAAAACGAGAAATTGTGTGGAAACACGGCGCCCAAAGGGCGAAGTGTGTTTTCACACAATTTCGAGTTTTCACAATTTCCACGAGTGTTGATATAACTGTATATCAATGCGGAAAAAATGTTTTATATTTTCTTTATAATATAGCACAAAGAAATATAAAGAAAGAAATTTTCCGACGTTTCCGTGTTGACATAGTTATCATCAACACGGCTCTTAGCCAATCAGCGTTCAGAATTTACAAGTGCTATATTATAATCCCAAATATCACCCACTCGTCTTCGAACCGACTTGACCTTGTTGCTCATGATCAGTTGAAACTTCTCAGCTGCCAGGTTTAGACACACTCGGAGATAACATCACAACAATACAATTGTTCCAATCAATGCAAAAATTTGTCCGACTTTTAAAGATGCGGTACAGTCCGTATGTAAACAAAGGCTTTGTTTACATTTCGGTGTCCAAAATATTGAATTTTATTCAACAACTATTTATATTTTGATGATTCTGGAGTATAATAAATTATCAAGACACAACAATCAAGCTTTGCAAGAACATAAAATGAAATAAAAAACCTAAATAAACTGTTTGTAAATAAAAAGAGGGCTCCTTTGTGCACATGCGCAGATCGGACTGTACCACATCTTTAACAAGCATTACCGCCACAAATATTAGAGCTCAGACGCAAGTTCCCTTTTTAATGGCTACCCCCGCCATTTCAAGTTGCATCGGGCGCCCCTGCTAATCAATCTCAAATAATCAGATAATTTTAGATTCCAAAGAATGGCTAATCAATGTTTAGAAAATTAGTCTGGCAGATAGCAATTGATTGGTGAATTATTGAGAGTTGTCATTACCTTTTAAGAATGAGAACACTAAGCCTAGCACAACGTCATAAATCTAGCTCTTCGAGTGAATTAAACCGACACCATTCAATAAAGATTAGCTGGTCAGTCCAGCCTATATTGCGATCAGTGTGTTTACAAGCTTTCGCCGCATGGGGCTCTTTCTCGCACTGAACGTTACATAAAAACATCTGAATCTTGCCAAAGTATCTTATTGCTGTTAATGTCACTGCTATCTGATTTGCTGGATGTACTACTGCTGTCACGGCTACGGGATCGAGCAAATTCTGTAAAACTATCATTGAGCTCGTATTGACTATTCTCCTCAAATTTTTGACATGGACGCGTCATACTTGAACTCGTCCATGTTTGTCGCCGTGGCACGTCAGCATGGACATCTTGTGTGTTTACTCGACCATACGAAGCCACTTTAGCATCTCTAGTGCCACTTGTCGATTCGCTGTTTGTCCTGAGTCTCTGTTTATTCTTATCTTCTAGTGCACCGCCATCACTAACTTGTCTTCGATATTTCCTCATATCAGTCGCCAATGTAAACACCCCAATGAATGTATCATACAACAATTTCGCTTTGTGCTTGTCCTCGCAAAATAATACATGAGCTTTCACAGTCAGTTCGCTGTCTTCGCGTCCAACAAGTATAAAATACCGAGTGTATTCTTCTTTTTTCGTCGAGTATATAACATCACGGATATTTGATAGCTGAAACTTTTGCAGCACATCACCGTCCTTGCTGAACAACAGAGCTCCAGTTAAATCGACTATCAGCCTCAGTTTACAGCCGTGTTCAAAGTGGAATAATTCCAGTAAGTCTTTATAGAATTCAATCAAGCGTTCCTCGGAATTTGTTGGATCTAAATCGCCTACACTGGTCGAACCAACGCGCTTGACAATAAACTGAGATCCTGCTTCAATTTTATCCCTGCTGTCTTGCTCTTGTAAACTGATAAAGCGATGTTTTCGCCATAAAGCCATCGCATACCAAGGTAACCAATCCAGCGAGCTCAAGGAAATACTGTACCTATGATTAAACAAATATTCTAAATACTTTATCTTATCAAGCAGGAAATAGAATGAAACATAAATTGTTCAAAAGAAGAAGTCTTAGTCTCTTGGATTTGAAAGAAGTCTTAGTCTCTTAGATTTATCAACTTCATTCTTCAAGTTCCCATGAAAACAGTCGACCACTCACCTCTGTAATGAGTCAAAACATGGATATATTTCCAATACGAAACAAATACTCGGAAACGCCGATTCGCGCTATAAATATAGCTTGCCGAACGAAGCTAATAATTTCAGTATTAAGAATTTAATGACAAATTAATAGAACATCACGAGCTTAGAAATAAATCATGGATAGATGCACGTACAATTACAAGATTTGTTCACACGGTGACAACAAAGAAATTGCTATTTTAGCAAGGTTACAGTATAACAGCAACGAAATATTGAACAATCATTGCACCGAAAACAATATGTAGTCAGTAGCGTATAAATTCAGTTGTTGTAGTAATTCCTATGCAAATTTTCGTTACATAGTGAATGAATTTGAATTGCAAACGTGGCAGGTCTTTTATCTTTGACACGCGTGCCACAGGGGCGGATTCAGACAGGTTTGACAGGTTTATATAAACATGTCAGATTTTCCAAAGAGAGAAAAAACCTTCCATGTATATAACTAATTTAAAGAATATTCTGTTTCATAAAATTGATGTTGTCTAATGTATTACGCCACTTAAACACTGTTGTTGAAATTTGATTATGGATTACCGAGCGTATAATTAAGGACTTATCGCCCTGGTTTCCTCTTACGAAATGTTGTAATACTAGACTAATAATCTGCTAATATATCGTCGTGGGTCGTGGACTTGTAAACATCGCATGAATCACACATAACCGCCCGCAATTATGAGTAAACCGGTGGTCAGAGTTTTCTCCATGAGAGTAAACCGGTCGATACGCCATTCGATTGGCTAAACGGCTGCGCTCCGCCGGATGTAAACCGGTCATAAACCTGTGAGTCGAGCAGTATTTAGAGAAAACTGGGCATGAAAGTTAACACTGAACTCGAGGACGCGCGAAATATGTTTATATGCGAAATATGTTGGCGATAGAAGCATTTATATGGATTTCTTGTTCATTTTGAAGGTTTGTTTAAAAGTATACAGTCTAAAGTTATAACTGTAAGCTATTTCTACACACTGTATAGTAAATATCGATTCATCAACAAGCGTATCGATGTTTATACGTGTAACTACAGTCTATCAGTCATGATAGCGCGAAATATGTACGTATAATCTTGCGTGACAGAATCATTGAATTGGCGAGAGAGAATCAGGAAATGATTGTGATTATTTGTGAAGCTTTATTCACGCTCTTGCAGTTTGGTTTCTAGTTCACTGTTAAAGTTGGTTTGAAAGCGTATAGATCTAAAATTACGACTATATTTATATTAAAAGCATCCCTACTTGTTGTACTTATAATAACTAATTAACTATTGATGCGTCAGCAATTCAGTTGCCAATCCTATATTTTCAGCATTAGCTAATAGGTTCCCGAAAAGGTTCAATTCATTGTTTGAGCTGCGTGTTAGTCAGAATTCTCTTAAAAATATATATTTTCTAATCATTAAATTAATTTAAAAAGTGACGCCAGAACGCAGGAAATGCTGTTTCAGAGGCCCAAATTTTAAAAATTTCCCGGAAACCATACCCCCGGACCCCCCTAGTGCTTGTGTGGACCTAGTAAACCGGTCACCCAAAACACTGGATCCGCCCCTGTGCCATCTGTACACATTCAAAACAAAGCCTTTACGTGGGCTGAGTTCATGTTGGTTGTGCGTCATATATTGTAATTCTTGAAATTGAATAGTCAATGTATTCACATTAAATTAAACAGCCCACACGACTTCGAACATTTTAAACTTTTGGCGCAGTTTCCGACGGGCATGCATACCCAGACCCCCTGTAGCAATAGTTATAGATTCGAGATTGGAGTTGCGTTCGGCACGTACATCAGTCCGTCACAATTAGTTAGGATCCAACACTAATTTTATCATAAAGATATCTTCTATTTACTAACCTGCAGTATT